TGCCTGCATTGTATGATTTGAGCTCAATCCTTAATGCAGCCATGATGTCTGTTCAAAGGTAGCTTCTGCAATATGATGCTATGATGGACAAACAGAAGTGTCATCTGCAAACAATCTTGGTTTACAGGCAAGACTATCCGCAATATAATTTTTCACATTTAATACGTATGAAAGGCCCATGGATCGAGCCTTGATGTGTGCCAGCGGCTAAATTCTGAGAACTTAACACATTCCAATTTTAAAATACCTTTAGATGACTATGACCTAAATAACTTTCTTGCTAGTTTAAAACGTTACCTTGTAAACAATATCGTTTTAGTTTACACAGCAGTCCTCTGTACCATACACGATCAAAGGCATTTGACATATCACAAAATATCATTCAAATATCTTCTCTTTTATCTGAGGCATTGTAAACATTATGATAGAGTTCAGTCAGCTGATGAACAGTGGAACATCCAGGATGGAAGCCTCGCTGATATTTAAACAAAAGCTTATCATCAAGAAAATAATAAAGGCATATGCTTTAGAACCACGCTTTCCAATAACTTGCCAACACATCTAATTAGCGATACTGGATGTTATTTAGACGCATGCATTCTGTTACCCAACCAATGTCAGGATTGTCTTGCACCGCCACACCTAACTGAAGTCTTCCATTTCTTGTAATAATGTTCCACAACTAGAGGTTTGCAAACCAATACATTTTGACAATCCTGTCCAGTTGGAACAGAAAGGAGTAGCGCGGAGTAGCGCGGATGGATTATAGCGATTTACAAATATATATTGATAGATTAAAATGAATAAATGCAGCAAGGTTTATTTGAATGTTCCTGGGTGTCAGGTCCATCTTCACCTATCTGTCCTTGCAATCTCTGTAGGCACCTCCCATGGGACTTCTCCCAGGAAGCGCTGCCAGTCGAAAATCGCAGAATCTGAAGACTTCTCAATCCACCCAGAGTATATGAAGGGATGTGTTCTTTACAGAAAACCCGGACACTATCTCAGTGTCAGTCACGAGATGTGCCAAAACCATGTCACCAAGAAAGTTTGAAAGCTGATACCAGAACCTTGTCAATCTCATTGGTATCAAAAGGGACAGAGAATTCAATATTGTACAGGATTCAATTGGTCTTATCAAATGGGCCATGATCTGGTGAGTTTGAAAGCCCGGCGGCTGTATACGTGAATATTCCAAAGAATTGATTATATCTTCCCATGACATCCTCCACATATTCTGGATCTTACCAGGAAAGATCTCTGAGTCAAAAACACAACCATGTCGAAGACGACAATAAATGGATCAATGCTCTGCTGTTTTGTCACTTGCGATACTGTATTTGCGCCAAGCCTGAGCATTCACTGGCAATGTGGTTGCATAATCTCGTTACATGTATTGTATTATCTACATTACATTTAGAATGCGACTGTTCCTGAGCACCAAACAGCTGCTTCACGTTCCAGGCCAGTAGACTGCATCGTTCATGTCCAGGTCCATACACTGCACGTAAGTCCATTACAGTGGTCGTGACCGGAAAACCGAAATTACACCGATTGGATACGGCACAAAAGGTGGCCGACATTCTTTTTCTGTGCCATCCAACAGTACTGAACTATAAACAAAATCAACATTTACATTGGGATTATGGCTTGTTTATTAGTATTATATAATAGCTAAACGCGCACGAGCTTCATAACGATATTCGGTTAATAATTGGATTGGAAAATATATGCGAATGAAATAAAATCCAACTCTTCTTAAGTCTACATTTTAAATCTGCCCAAAGTTGCTCTACTTGTGTGAATGCGTTAGTTGAAACCTCACCTGCACCCCTAAGTACGTTTGCATTGGCCTGAACATCCACGAGGTCAATAATTCCACCCAATCATCACCACCCTCTTCCCCAAGTGTGTGTGTGTGTGTGTGTGTGTGTGTGTGTGTGTGTGTGTGTGTGTGTGTGTGTGTGTGTGTGTGTCTGTCTGTCTGTCTTTCTGTATGTGTCTCCGTCTGAATATCCGTATCTGTCTGTATCAATATGTTGAAGAGGGAGTAGAAATCAATTTGGAAAATTCGTGTTTAACAAATAAGGAATCATATGCTGATGTTTAAACAATCTTTGACTCAATAATTCCACCCCCAAGTATACTGACTGATCCTTTCTAGTTATTTTTCAGATGAAAATTATTACATTCAACGAACCCAAAGGGCACTAGAGCATAACTGGACAATGACACGACATCATTACTTGTATTTTCTATTGAGAAAATGTTTACGGTCATACACGTAAAAGAGGTGTTGATTTCTGTACTCAGTAGGTTCAGGGTGATAATCTTCATCTCTGTGGAGCAAAATGGTTAAAGGATATAGTGAAAAAGAGACGGAAAAAAACAAGCCCTGAAATATTCTTCTTCTAAAAAAATAAGCTTTAAAGCTGCGCCTGCCCCTGCGAATACATCGCATGTTGGGTTGATCATCAATTCAACACTTGAGTGTGACGACATGTATAACAACTATTATTCTTATAAAAATAAATTCTTTTCATGAATGCAATCGATAATGCAGTCTCTGTACCCAGTCAAGCATCATGCAGTCCTGATGTGTACGTTTTATGAAAAGTGGCAATGTGGACAGTCAGTCCTTGAAAACATTTTGAACTGTTCAGTTTCCATGACACATTATCCCAATATGCAATATCCATGACAATAAACATGATTACGCATTTCGTGTCAAAAGGAACCCGTTCATACATTTTTGTATCACACGTCCAAAGGGCTCCTAATCACACACTTACAAGATAATGATCAAAATCATACTGGCTGTTTCACAATGATGCGGTTACACAGAAGCTTCATATATTGACCTGCTTGGTGTTGTCGTGCAGACACTAATTATAGACCTATCCATACTGTCTGAACGATAGTGGACAGGTCAGCAATCCAGGCTGGTCAGTCGTACATTATAGCTGCCAGTAATTATGCACGATGAGAAAGCGTTTGATTAACACTGGAGTGAGTGATCGAGTTTTGCATAACATCCCCTTGAAAGTTAACGAGGTGTCACTCGATGTCGGCTGGAAATCCTGAAAGACGAACATGACACTGACCAAACAATAACGTATGTAATAAGGACGCACCGGGATTCGAACCGCAATCATAGGTTTCTGGTACACACAAGGGACATCACTGGCCGTCGTGATGTTGCTGGAATATTGCTAAATGCGACGTAAAAGTAAACTCACTCACTGAATCTGTGGTAGTGTTACTTCGGTGCATGAAAAGGGCTTGCTTTAACTACAGAGGATGCATTGTACACCCCAATCGGGTTGCATGTAATAGATACAATGTTTTCCATACTTCGCATTTAAACCAAATATACAAAATATACAATTTTTTGCAGGCATCAAAGGGACTAGTTATACTCTTGTGATGAATATAGACAAAGTTGAGTATCGCGCTGTCATCCAGCTCCCACTTGATGTATCCAACTCGGACAGCATGTGCAAATGGCGACAATTTCTAGGTGATGATTTGCCTCTTGCAATGGTCACAGGTAAGAGCTGTGTAACAAGTTCAAAAGGGTAACACAAAGCACCAACTCCGGTCCAAGATGAGGGAGGCCTTCAACTGATGTGTTCCAAAAGCTTCTGACACATGGTTAGAATCGCTCAAGGACAATAATATCTCGTGAGAAATTACGTCGTTTTTTTAGCAGACCCAGCTGATTTTGTTGAGAAATGTGTAACCATGGAAGAATCTTTAATGTGTGGTCCAACACTGACAGCCAATGAGCAACACTGGAATCAGTGGAAAATACTCAAATACCACAGTTTGTTCCTTTGTGGTTTAACGCTGCACTCATCAATATTCCAACTATATGACGGCAGTCTGTAAATAACTGAGTATGGGCCAGATAATCCAGTAAATGACGACATGAGCATCGATCTACGTAATAGGGATACGATGTATGTGACAGCATGTGTAGGGCGAACATATGTTTAGTGAACAGTGAAACATGTTATTATATTCTTTAATTCAGTTGTGTGGACGCTGTTCATCTTTCTGTGCCCGAAAGGTTGATATATGCTGACATAACGACCTGCAATCCAAGTTGGTTACTTTTTGAAACAACCACTTGTATATTTTATGTAGTTATTTATTCAAATATATATATTTGCGTGGCATGTTTATGTTTTTTTTATCGGAGTTCAAGAACGATTGTGTTTACCAATTTCGAAGCCGACAGAAAGAACTTATTTATTACGAAGGCAGCTGCTGTCCTGGAAACATTAGTACCCCAAGGAGAATGACTAACAAAGCAAAAAATGAAGCACGTCGCTAAACGTTGAAACCAATAACAATGTGTACCTACATCGGCCAGTCAGACAGGAAGTCAGGCCATATGGGAACGTGTAGGTTAATAACTTCTCGGAATTATTTTTTGTTAGGCAATTCCAGATTTTTTTTAGATGCTGGATGGCCATAATAGGCCGATGACCTCATCTACAGTTACAGATGTTCTTTGTGCACCGGTAATGCCAAAACATCTACAAAGATGTATATTGCCTCAATGTGTTTCTGGGTGTTCGTATGCTCGTGGTTTATTAGGAATCATATAGTCGTGATATAGCCAGAATCGACTCTGCTTGTATCTGAGATGCCTTGTGGGTATGAGAAAGTTTTATTTATTTGCATCAATCAGGTAATACTGCCGTCTTAGCTTTTAATATATTTATTCAGTTAAGATTGATTCAGGATTCTGCCAGAGACGTATAGACAAGTATAAATGATTTCCTGTCATGAGCGATTCGTGGGAGTAGATCTCGAAGATACGTTTCTTATCTTCATGGCCATAAATGTCAAAATTCTAACATGACTGTAGCATTGACGAACAAGTAGTCAAGTTTACTGACATGTGTTTAGGCATCATTTCCAGGAAAACCTTTGACATTTCATTGAAAACAATTTCCGGCACTTCACCAAACAACACAACACAACACAAGTTTAGAACTTATCTGTTTACTTCGTGTCAAATATGGAACACAAAAATACAATAAATGATTGTTCGCCCATTTTGTACGGAGATAATCACATGATAGTAGCACCAAGTGACTGTGAAATAGCACTGTGGCGCCATTGAACTAGCTTCGAACATAACAACGTCTACTGTGTTGGACTTCTACCTGGTCTCTTGTGCTAAGCAGCGGGAAGATTCTCATACTGTGGTTGTCGATGCTGCCGTTACTATGGCAACGGGACTAAGGGAGCTAGCAGGTGGGCACCGCATACTGACTATGGGAAGGGCATATAAACACACCTTTACTCCACAAAACAACACAGTCCGACAAAATTGGGCGTAGACTCCTTCTGGTGTCGGTTATATTAATCATTTGGACAGAAAACGAGCAGAAACACAGTACGATAACCTGTTTAGAGTTCAAAGTTTGACTTCGCGGCTAGTGTTTGGGTGCTGCCATACACTGGGCTTCTGTAAGCATAGGGCAATATCATTGTATATCAATTCAATATGCCAACAAGCGTGTAAGACGAATTTTAGCTGAAATAATGGTATCAAATCACTTTGTACAATTAATTCTGTAAAAAACTGTTAAGCTTACAAACATGTTTTCCATCACAGAGAAGTATGTCACAGATTCTAGCAAGTAAATTCACTGACAAATAATTATGAAATCTGTTTTCCTATTGGCACCAAACCATCCGTGCCTGTAACACACCATAAAACTCACGCCTCACATTCAACAATGAAAACTTAATACAACAATATCGATGTCACTTTACAAAACAATATATAATATTTTTTTACAATATAGTTAAACATTAACAAGCTATGTACAACATAGTAATGCTTTAAATGTCAGTATTAATAATATACAGTGTCAGAAACATCAAACATCATGTGCTTGGTCCATATCAAAATATCTTCTTGTATGTAACGAGAAACAATATGAAAATACTATCATTAAATTATGTATTGACCGGTCCTGTATGTTCAAGATTCTGTAAGGGGTCACTTAGAACATTGAGCAATACGAAACGGTCAACACATAAATAGAAATATAGAGTATGTGATACATAATTCTAAGAGTGTCGAGAGGCAAATGTGTATAAACAGGTGAGTATACTTAAGTGGTTTGCCGTTTTGTTAAATTATTGCTACGCTACACTACGGAATTGGATTTGCGTCAGGCTTCTCTTAGGACATCCACTCAAATGGTAAACACAACATCCTTTCTGCCTTTTCACCATCTTCAGGCAACACGCATATTGGCACTTTTATAACAATTTATAATCACCTCTCGCTTCCTACACACACGGTTACCCAATCAAAATTAAGGAAAACATTTTGTCCGGTACATATTTTGATTCAAAGCGAGGCAAGACTATCTCTGTCGGTTTCCGTTTCCGTCGTAGTCCCGGCGCCAAATCTCTGTTGCACGTTCAGTCGAATATGCTCCGATGAGGGGGCTGAAAATGAAAGAAAAACATTCCAGATTAAGCACAAACATAAAACCGTGTAGTAATCACTATCCCTGAAAAACATGATCGGAAGCATTTGAAAAGCTGTAATAACAACAAATACACGAATATTTATAACCGCGTCGGTAATTAAGAGGGACTTTGTCCTGAAAACACGAGCCGTGTTCCAGAGGAAAGCACAGATAATCCGCTCGTACCGGACATCGCCTTACCACGTCATGGCCCTGATCAATATTGATGGCTGCGGACTCATTCCAGCCTTCCGAGTTTACAATCAATGGCCTAAGGGGAAGTATGTTCTTTCTCAGAGGACAATATAGCTACCCAGACGAAGACATGTCTGTGTCACTGTCAGCTTATATCCATTAGGTGGGCGAGAGGTCGCCTAATATCATATCTTTAGTCTGACTTTTGTACACTCAAGGTTAAAGTTAGACTTAATTGTATTCAAATCTTGTGGTCATTACTCACGTTGGGATAAACATTGCGTCAATGTGTTAGTTATGCAAACGTTGTGGACGGTTCTTCTGCTGAGAAAATGGAATGCTCAGTAATTGAGTCAGTAATGACACGTAATAAACTATATATATTTATTATCTGAATATAGATATAACATCGTTTTAAATAGCGTTTGGAGGTAATTACTTTAATAAACGTCAACGGCAGGGAATAACCACTCTCAATTACCCCACCAACAGGTTCTATTAGGCGTACACAACGAAATATATGAATGCATCCCCGAAATACAATAATGACACCAGGTGTTGGTGGAAATCAGTACTATCAGTACAAACATTACATGAAGAGTATGTATGTACAATATGTCTTAGTCCCACACATGACGTATCAAACCTAAAATGGTAAAACCTCAATCCAGAATTCTGTACCGCAGCGTATTCCTTCGTGACCCTCGTAAAGATGGTACAGGCAGTCGCTGGGAGTGTTATGTGTGTGAGTGGGTATCATCTAATTGACCAACGCTATAATAGAACCGACTTTGAACCGAACTATTACAAGCACATACGCGCAAACACACACGCACACACGTTCACGCATCAATCCATATATCCATGCATAACATACTTACATACATACATACATACATACATACACACATACACATACATACACACACACGTTAATCCACCCATGCATGCATACATACATACATACATACACACACATCCATCCATACATCCATCCATCCATACACATACATCCATCCATACCATACACACATATATACATACATACACACACACATCCATACACACACATCCATCCATCCATACATATATACATCCATACTATACACACACACACATCTATCCATACACACAAACATCCATACACATACACACACACATCCATCCATCCATACACACACATCCATGCATGCATACATACATACATACATACATACATACATACATACATATACATACATACATACATACATACATACATACATACATACATACATACATACATACGCACACACCACTGCATACCTGCAATAATCATGAACACTTCTTTCAATCCCATTTCATCGCACCGCACCAATCATTTCCTTGTTACTTTTTATAAGCACTTAAATCAGCCATACCCCATTACATGTAACACAGTACCTGCAACCAGCCAACATCTGTGTCTTCCACTGAGATTTGTGTAACAGTGTGTATGCCATATACTGTCACGCCATGCCATCAGGGATACCACAGCTCGACGTGAAACATAAGTCCCCTGTTGGACCAAGTAGTCCGTTTAGGCTGGGATTAGATTACACAGAGATTACGAACCCGAACCCAAACCCACATACGAAAGAAGCTACCGTGGAGGAAGTGGGATTCATTTGGCCACTGACGTATGAGAGATTATTCCATCTATTTGCTTTTACGAAAACGCATAAGACGCAAGCTGAGTCATTCCGAATTGTCATCTATCATCCGCACTCCACAACAGGAAACTGTTTAAAGGAGTGAACTTAAACCTGAGCTTCATACCGGCTCGTAATGCAGAAAGCACTGAGGAAGCTAGCTGAATGTATGTCACCATGGCAGAGGGATTGCTCAATCGTTTAGTTACAGTGTTCATGTGCATTTGGATCAAATGAGGCCATTCTAATATAGTTGGGAAATGTCGTTTTGATGTAACCCTTTTGTAAATTGAAATGAAATATCGATTGTACGCATTTAGATTAATTTATTCCAGATGACATGATGGTTTGTATATTATAACATGGTTTCAAAAAACAATATGTCAAAAATCCAATGCAATCATTTCATGCACTCGAGCACTACTATCCATATGCTTATAAGAATTATTTAATTTCTGAGAGTCTTTTAATACATATTGGGGCGGTAGGGGTAGCCTAGTCGTTAAAGCGTCCGCTCGTCACGCCGGGTTCGATTCCCCACATGGGTACAATCTGTGAAGCCCATTTCTGGAGTCCCCCGCCGTGATATCACTGGAATATTGCTAAAAGTGACGTAAAACCATACTCACTCACTCACTTTAATACATATATAGATAATAATGTAACATAATGGTGCAACATTTTAGCATCCCGGTCACTGGATCCGTGTGCACTCTACTTTCATTCTCGACTCCCTGGAGATCATACAACCAAAGATGCCACAACCAAAGAAATCACATTGACATCTGATTCTACCAGGTACCCATCCTGGTAATAATTTATCGATATACGTCTATTGAATGGTTAACCATAAGAATTTTTTTGAAATGTGACGTTTCATTTGAACTATCTAGACTAAGTGCAACAATCACGTGAATGTCAAGCATATATCAATATATTACATAAATGAATATACATTGAGGAAGACACACATAAGAGCACAATACTGTCTGCATACAACACCTCACATGACTGCCTTGAGCAACACACCGGTTCAATACGGATGCAGTCAGCAAATATTCAGATGAACATGTCTACAGTCTGGCGCCCAACAAAAACAGGAATATTTACTTCCAAATTGTGCAAGTATCGTAATCTTTTAATAGCACGATTGAAGAGGTCTACAATATCCGTGTTGACATTTATAGAATAAATGGCTATTGTTAACGGCATATATAGCGTCCTGTATAGCCTTCCTCCGTCTATCAACCAGTATAAAGAAATGCTAACAGATGACGATAGCGAAGTGATGTCCTGTTGAAACCCAGACAATAAAGTGTTCACTACCTTTGGGCATAATGCATTCCTGGTGTTTCTGCTATGCCAGTTCCTTTGACAACTCCGAAAGCTCAAATCGATTTCCTAAAACAACTGCCGTTGTTTTTCATCCACAGAGACAATGTAATTTGAAAGAGAATTTTAACCCTGACAACTAGTACTGGCAAATTGCCTCATGTTGCGACAAACTTGTTCTGAGTGGCATTTGTTTTACATTAATGTTTTAGCTACCAGAGACGTGGGCCTAAAGTGTAAATACTGCTGTTTCACTCTTATCTAATTATCCTCGTTAAAACGAAGTCTTTGTTGCTGTAGCCATTTTGCTGAGTCGTAAGAGGTTAGCGTGAAACTGAGAAACGTCTTTCCTTCATCTCCGGTAATATTGCCATCAGTGTGAATTAAATTGCACCCAACTTAACACATTCGGAAACTAAATTCGTTTGGATTGAATATGGACGTCACATAAATGACAAATAGTTTTCCAATCTGCAAACCGCGTCAGCTACACAATGTCCACATGTCTTGAATAATTGCCAAACCTCGTATGGTAACTTGGAAAATATAATACCGTTCGCACTACAGATTAAACACACATATATCAACGTTCATCACATCCCATGAGCAACCGATCGTTCGTGTCGGATCTGTCAGAAGCAAATGCTGTGTTCAATTCGTCTGTTCTCGGTTTCCGATAACAACGAAATTCAACTCTACCGGGGCCGATACGTCCTAATGCAGCATACATTAAGAATAGTCTGTACTTATAACACTTCCACAAGCTCAGTCAGTTTATGGCAATTTCTTGGCCATAACTGTTAACCCTAATCCGTGCGAGTGTTCCCGCTAGACCAATGCCAGTCAGATCTGCTATTATTACATGTGTATAGGGCTCCACCTGGGGAATTCCACTTATCTTTGAACTATTACTTAGCGTAAAATTGTAAAGCAAATTTGTATCTGCAAGCCTGCGAGCGAGTCCCTTGGGGCCAAACATCAAACATTAGGTCAACGCGACATGTAACTCGATCGGACAGCAAATAAAGGAGACAACCAATAATAAATACAAAACTGCTTTAGACAGCGTTAGATGCACATGGCATGATTGGACGCCAGCACTATTGATGCCAAAGACTGTCAGGACTTAACTGGGTTATGTCGTCAAATTAGTCCAAAGGACGTAGATGCCTTATGTGATGTTCCAAATACAAGACAATTTACTCGAAAGCTTCATGCCTATGATGCTGGGTAAAACTTCATTTGGAATAAGTGGTGCAATTAACAATTGGGAATGTTGGATGCCATTTCTTAATCAAATCATTCGCAAGGATGCAACCTTTCAAGAGTTTTTAACCTTTTTGTTTTCTTCACCCACTCGTGAATGATGCATGCCGTCTTTGCAATATAAATCAGTGCGGGGTAGCGTAAGAAAATGCAAAAGGGTGTTTTTATTCAACCTTATCTCATGTGACAATTCAATACCATAATTACAGTTATAAGACACATAGGTTTATTTTTGTTTTAAATCCTTTCAAGTATGCTTAGCGACGAATGCGTTTTCATTAGCAATAATTGCAAGACTAGTTCTTAATACCTCCATTAAACAAGGACATGTCTGGCAGAGAGCGAAACATTGATCTAAATCTTTCATTACATGCACACGACAACTTTCCAAATCGTTCTAGGAGCGATTGCAAAACTTAAACGGGATATATGGCGAAACAGGGATCATTGAAAGTATTTAAGAGTGACAACACTATTCACATTCCGCGACCGGCTAGATTGGGATCTTGGAACCAGTTTCCGCTCTGATGCAAAATTTAGAGACCCATTTTGTCTGAAATCAATACGAGAAATCCTTGCTGATGCTGGAAGCCCAAGAAGAGGCTGCCTCTCTGGTATTGCTGGTATTGAACTGAGGCCAGTATTATCTTCTTCCAAATTACAGGGAGTACCACACCGTTCTTATGTGTGTGAATACTCCACAATTTTCTCTTATTATGCTTACAAAACGTCCACAGGATTCAATGATCTGCCAAGGAGAAGAAAGGATTTCTTAGAATATAATTTTCCATTCGGCAGAGAAGTGCCCCCCACGTCATTATTTAAGTATTTGAATTTCAAAGAGTTCAGATTGAAAAGATATTGATTTAGCTGTTCGAGGTGAAGCCGAAAATTGAAACTCATCTTCAAACATTGCGAGCAGATTGTTAAGTTGAAAACAGTATTATAGCATTAGACAGCCCTATTGAACCCATAGAGAAATGTTCCCGAATACTTGAAAATGATATTGTTTTGTTACTGTGTTATAACGACTGGTTAAAGGTAGAACGTTATTGTATAATCATGGCAAAGATTGGATATTTAACGAAATTAACCAAGGGAATATGTGATATTGTCACAATACCTTGGCTTTGAAATGATCGGTACATCTGATCTACTACCAGGAACTGACTCTGCTTTCTGAGTAAAGTATGCTTATATCTTTGTATATATGTGTGTAGTATGGTATCACGACTGTTTTGCGATACATAGTCTTTTGACTTCTAAAAGGTATGGCGTTATCATAGTGAGAGATGAGTATAAAATACAATATCGATTTAACCATTGAATGATTACAAAATCTGGTTCAAGACGGCAGTTCTCTTGGGAACCAGAATCTGAGACAATAACTCATAGGGAAGTACTGATACTGATGTACTTACACCTGCATCTACACCAGCAGCAGGACCACAATCTATGGTAGTTTCACCTCACCAAATACAGGAACATCAGCATCAACATTTAAACGAACATCTTCAACGACATCAATAAGCCATGTACAACTACACTGTTATAAGTATCAACACCTGCACAAAGAAATCCAAACATACATATATTTCTACGTACAACTATATCCCCTACACACATACATTCATACAGCCACACACAGACCCACGACCACGCCTACCCTTACTCTCACGCCCACGCCCACGCCCACACCCACTCTCACGCCCATCTCACACCCACACCCACGCCCACACCCACTCTCACGCCCATCCCACACTCACGCCCACGCCCACGCCCACACCCACTCTCACGACCATCCCACACCCATCCCAAACCCACACCCATCCCCACACCCACACCCACTCCCACACCTATAAACACACACACCCACACCTACATCTACATCCACACAAGCACCCACACCAACATCAACACCACACTTACATCTACCCCCACAACCACAACTACACACACACACTCACACACACTCACACCAACACGTATATTCACACACCAACATCAACACCACACTTACATCTACCACCACAACCACAACTACACACACACTCTCACACACACACACAAACATCAACACGTATATTCACACACCAACATCAACACCACACTTACATCTACCCCCACAACCACAACTACACACACACACACACTCACACCCACGTCCACATCAACACATATATTCACACACCAACATCAACACCACACTTACATCTACACCCACACCCACACCCACAACCACCTCCTACACCCACACAACACCAACATCAACACGTATTTTCACACACCAACATCAACACGTATATTTACACACCAACATCAACACATATATTTACACACCAACATATACACGTATATTCACACACCCACATCAACACGTATATTCACACACCCACATCAACACGTATCTTCACACACCAACATCAACACGTATATTCACACACCAACATCAACACGTATATTCACACACCAACATCAACACGTATATTCACAACACCCACATCAACACGTACATCCACACACCAACATGAACATCGACACCAAATTATAGCAGTGTAAACTCATCATCACCTTTTTCGAAAACCACCAGTGGTTGTGTTGCCATGTTTATTATTGTTACAATCATGTTTGAAAACCCATATTGACACCTACACCACTGTGTACAGACTATACATACCATAGTTGTTGGATGTTCCGGTAGATCCGGTGGGCGCCATCTTGTAACTGGCAGAGTTCATTGTAAGTTTTCGAACATTCTTTTGTGGCTGGAAGACGATTATGTACACCTTTGGCAGAAACAGACAGAGCAAGGCAACCGTAGCACTTAGTGAGATAGACACGCACAACGTTGTGATCTGAATCTGGAACAGAAACAAAATGTGGTTAGTTCACTATGAACCTACAAACCTTAAGCATATAATATTCTGTTGTATTTTACAGGCACCGCAAATTCGAGTGTCACTAGGCAGACTTATATCTACCCATGATTCCATATTTGTACCAAAAAAAAGTCGTCTCCAACCCGAGCCTTCTCGGATAAAGAATAAATCTACCGACCATATCGTCTCTACGCAGAACGCACAAACCGCCGAGAGGCTTAAACTAACAGTTAATGAGTGGCACATCCACTGAGTCCATATTTCAAATTTCCACTGATAACGCACAGCTGTCCATATTTTTAAAACCTCCACTGAGAACGCATATCTGTCCATACTTCAAATCTCCACTAAGGACTCATAACTGTCCATACTTCAAACCTCCACTGATAACGCATAGCTGCACATACATCCCACTTTCACTGAGAACGCATAACCAATCATACATCCCACCTCCACTGAGAGGCGCATAACCGTCCTTACATCCCACCTCCACTGAGGACGCATAACCGTCCATACATCCCACCTCCACTGAGAACGCATGAACCGTCCGTAATTCCCATATCCACTGAGGACGCATAACCGTCCATACATCCCACCTCCACTGAGAACGCATGAACTGTCCGTAATTCCCACATCCACTGAGGACGCATAACCGTCCATACATCCCACCTCCACTGAGAACGCATGAACCGTCCGTAATTCCCACATCCACTGAGGACGCATAACCGTCCATCCATCCCACCTCCACTGAGAACGCATGAACCGTCCGTAATTGCCACATCCACTGAGGACGCATAACCGTCCATGAACCGTCCACACACCTCACCTCCACTGAGAACGCATGACCGTCCATCCATCCCACCTCCACTGAGAACGCATGAACCGTCCGTAATTCCCACCTCCATTGAGAAAGCATAATCATCTATACATCACTGAGGACACATTACCGTCCACACACCTCACCTCCACTTAGAAACGCCTTAACGGTCGATACACCCCGTCCCAACGAGAACGCATGAATGGTTGCTTCATCCCACCCCCACCGAGAAAGCAAAAATGGTTGCTTTATCCCACCCCCACCGAGAACGCATAAATGGTTGCTTTATCCCACCTCAACTGAGAACCCAATAACTGTTCATGTATTCAACATTAACCGTCTACACATCCCGGCTCCACTGGGAGTGCATTATTTGCCCATCTATTTCCTCCGCTAAAGCTTTAAGAGGAATTTGATGTTTTGTAACACAAAACACACTGATCCAGATTATAAAATATGACACAAGTCGACAGTATGATACCACCCATTGGGGATTTCGACATGGCAAGTGAAAAAAAAAGTGCAATACGTGATGTATAATGTCTGCGCGGTTTCATGTGAGCCATCAAGCTACCAACACCTGGCTATCAAAGATGTCGAATTTTGAACAGGTCAGACAACAGTAGTGTTTCCCACAAATAGTCCAATCCAGATCGTCCTTACAGGCATTTCTTAAGAAAGGATATGTCGCTGGAATTAAACTGGCTGATGAAGGAGACCCCTGTGAAATAAGCATTGTTGCACCATAGCTGCCACGTTTTGTGTTAAATTAATGCATCTTAAAATTGTCTTAGGTCCAAATTGCTGGTTATTCCTCCATATGTGATCTGAATCGAACGGCTACCAGTCCCGGGTCCCAAAACCCCTGATGCGTACATTAACTGATGTCCCAGCCGGTCCTTGTGTATGCGTGCAACTTTAACGTCGAAATTAAAGCATGGCTATATCCCGCCCTTTTTAATGTAGAACATTTCTTCTATGTCGAAATGAACTCATGGGTCCATACTATCCTTATACATCCATAATAATCCTTCTACGCCAAAATTAACTCAAGGTCCCATCCCGTCCGTTTAAATCTATTTTAATCCTACTATGTCGAAATTATCTCATGGCTCCATCCTGAACTATTAAATCCATATTAATCCTTCTATGTCTAAATCCATGTCATTCCGTTCGTGTCGAAATGAACTGGTTGTACCAAATAGTCCTTATACATCCGTCTTTGTCACAATAAGTGTCCAACCGGTCCTTTAAGTTCTATATAAATCCGTCTATGCCCTTTAAAGGTTCACCTGACAACACATCATATAAAATCCACCCACCACACAACAAACATGACAATCTTTCCGCCACTCCTACGTCAACCTCCCAACATCGTCCTTATAATGACAGCTTGCAGTGGTCATACAGTCAGACCACAATAACAACAATTACTTATGTCGTTAAAGTCCTGATAAAATGGGAGCCCAATTTCTGACGTTGCTGATAACACATGCTAGGGTTACACGCCTAAAGCAATATTATCTGATGTCTCCAATCTATACGGTCAATATCAATTACCTATCCAGAATACTTTTGCACTATAGGCCCGAGTAATGGCCTTTAAGTAGATGATGTGCTTGAGGCGGTTTCCAAGACCGTGGTCAGTTCAGTAGAAGAAAAGCACGCCCTTCCAAAGAAGATCCAGCAAACAAATAACTCCGTGCATGCTGTGGTACATCGCTCAACACAAGTGATCAAGTCCATTTATTAATCGTCCTAGCTAGTCATTACTGGCAATGAGGACTCCTGGTTGCCTATCAGACCATCAGCTTGATGGCTGCATCCTAACGATCGTGAGCACTTTTCGCTCCAAACGCTATAAACACGCTAATGTGATTCTATATAAAGTTAATATCTGTGACTTTGCTTTACATATTTTCACTTTGTTTAATATTTGATTACTTTCGACAGGGTTTTCAGATTGTACACATTTTTCAAAACAATTAGGACCAACGGAGTATTTAATAATGACAAGAGCGTCAAACATTACCCCACAAAAACGCATCTCTGATAAAAACAGTCTATTTTACAATTAAGAATCTGTCATAATACTAGGCAAAAGCGGTGAGCGGATCCTATATGTACCCACCGTTGGCGGCTGTGACAAAAGCACGCAAAGGCAAGTCAGGTGTTGAATAAACATGGGAATAATGGTGAAAACAGGCAATTGCTCCTGAGATCATGTTGTCAATATTGAGTCAAATCTCCTTATGTCTACCATAAATCTTAAACACCTAACTATTGAGTTGGTGCAATGCTGATCAAAAGGATTTAAGCAAGTGTCCCATGAAAAACATCCAACGAAAGTGATGTTCTGATAAACGTTTTACTTATAGGTCAGGATCTAATCTTGAAATATACATTTAAAAAACCCATTACAAATTACATGGGGGGGGGGGGGAGGAGGTTAAAAACGAAATTGCGTTTGATAAACAGTTCAGTTACAGTTCAAACTCATCATTTATATATACTGTTCCCAATATCGTCTATTTTCTCGTATCCAATATTGGTCAATAACGTGAAGAGGTGTCTACACCACATCCACTAACACGCATGTCCAAACACAGTCGTCCATAAGCTTAATTCCCATGTCTGTGTTACATCTGTCAATAACAGGCTTACATCTATGGATTGACCTAACACATCTCGGATATTTGCTCTATATCCTTGACCTAAATTTTCATAGTCATTGTGTTTTAGAAATGTGGTTTCAAGCGAGCAGAAGGAACTGTGCAATATCGACGCACATCTACTTGAATTATCCTTGTCCAGGGTTTAACGCACATGCCCATGACAACTGTCCACGACAACATAGATGAGATGTTTACACAGACGGCAAGGAGGAATCATAATACAACAGCAACAAATCTCAGAGACGACGAACATATTCTCCCCTCCTTGAGAATATTCTAGTATTCCTTGAGAATATTCTAGTCCCACAGAAATCGAAGTGTGAAGAATTCCGATGTAGTGGTGGACACAGCGAAGGAGTGATCGCTTGGAATCAGAGGATCAATGCTTGAGCCCTACGGCCACCTGGGATATTTCTTAATGATCGGGCAACTTTGGACACGGTCAATGCAATTCCCTCCCGTCTGCTTCCATAAAACCAGATCATTAAATGCCATTTTCTCACATCGTCTAATGAAGTCAAACATTCCTCTCCTCCTAACCGCTTTTTGACGATTATAGGAATTTAACTGGTCTCTTTGAGGTTACAGACACGAGGATTGGATCTGAAATACCGCTTGTAGTCTAGAGGCGGGATATGGAACTCACAACAAGGACAATGCCAATTTAGACATTCCTATTTCTGATTGATCATGCCGTGCAGGCGCTGACAGCTTGAGACCCTAAATCCTGTAGAAGTAGAACCAACTTGAACAGTGTAATGAAATAAATCATTATTTAAAAACGTGTCATGTTCAATTTCCTCTTGCCATTTTAAAAGACTGTCATTCAGGGAATAACTAAAGAGGTCACATAAAAGATGTCCCAAATGAATTGTTGTACGTAAGTAGGGAGCTCCAGGGCGTTCAAGTTGCGTGTGGATTTTTCATTTATTCGTACCGCCATATTTTGTAAGAGTAATTTGAAATAGCCTTGAACACTGATCACTCAATGACGTCATTGACACATATTCGTCAAACATCAGAACAATCGATGTTAGGTACACACCATTGAGTGTTAAGTAAGGTGTCATGAAACAATAATTACCAAAAATCTTCTCTCATACATTACTTCACTGTCTGTTAAAGACATTATTAAACACCACCTTTTTTAGTTCAAGAGTGTGTGAGATTCGAAATTTCACCGCATAACAATAATCAGTCTCGACCGAAAAAAGCAAAACTTGGGACAAAAATTGTGCCAAGGATTTGTGAAAAACGGTGATGACATCAGGAGTTTGCGAAAGGTGTAAGCATTCCAAGCAGTCCCTACAGCAACCGCTACATAAATTGAAAACTTGTTGCAATTTAATTAATTTTAATGCATTTTAAGACTGCATTTGCATCAGGGGATGATTTCTGCAAGTATCCATGCGTATAGCAACATCTTTCGTCAATTATCTCTAACACAACGTTATGTTATACAGGTATCTTACCGCCGGTAACACTAAGGTGTCTCATCTTCCAACGTCCTTCGACTCTCACCAGCAAGAACTCTTTAGTGAAATACATCCCATTACGTTTTACCCAAATGATTACACAACACGGTTTGCTTTTAAAGGACCACCCTCATGTTTTCCTACATGTTACTACAGAAGTAATGTGTTGTCAAATCATTGCGTCTGATGGTCATGGGTTATAAAATGTGTACACCTTCACCAGTATGTTTTTGAAGGAAGTTTCATTTGTTTACAGAACCCTTCTGCATTGCAAGAACAGTGCCGTGCAACTTCAGGCAACAAACACGTACGTTTTAGGCCAAGTGTGTAAGTAGTGAGTGTTATCGGAAGATATAACATGCTTGCAGGTTTCGCTTTGAAGGACCCGTGTCATTCATATAAATTTCACAGCCAGTTTAATCTTTTTTCACAAGGAATCTGTCTTCGTAGATTATTGAGACTAGTTATTCTCGAGAGTTGATGTTTCGTACCATGTAGCTTGATCACATTACTGCTAAACACGTTTATATTTTCAGAAATGTGTTTGTGTCTTGTAATGTATTGTATCGCTCTGTCACAATGGAGAACATTGATCAGCGGAACACACAACCTCTCCAAAGTGAGAAGTGACATGAACGGTTCTCCCACACCTACAATCATGTTTAAAAGATGGAATTTCAAGATTTCACGGGAACTAATTACGTCATTGGTTCTCCCCCTGCCATGATTCCCAGACAATGCCGGTACCACTAAATATTTCATACTCTGGCACACACGACAGAATTCTGTCACAATCTGTGTAAACGCGCACCAATGCAGGCTCTAGTAGGGCAATAAGCTAAGTCTTGTTTCACCGCCTCATCGATTCTTTTGTCAGACTACGCCATCAGCCAATGGTTGAAAGCATAATGTGACTCTCATCTACAGTTAAGATCCAAAACATATATTGGCTGGTCTACTCAGTAGATAACGTACAGAAATATATAGTACTTCCTAGCGTCGAAAGGGTTTGGAAAAGGCTGTAGTTTCATTACCTTTCCAATTTCGGAAATACAGTTTCTAATAGTTTCAAAAGTGAGTTTAGTTTTACCCCGCTTTTGGCAAATACTCCAGCAATATCACGGTGGGGGACACCAGAATTGGGTTTTACACATTGTACCCATGTGGAGAATCGAGCCCCAGTCTTCGGCGTGACGAGCGAACGATTTTACAACTCGGCTTCCTCACCGCCGTTTCTAAAGTCTTAAAAAATTTGTAAACTGATATTACAGTTAAAACGTACACGCATTCCGAGCTATAGCTATTTAAACAGAACCTCATTGTAAACTGTGTTCAACTGGTTCGTTTTGTCATCTCAGCCAGCGTTGTAAGGTATGCCTACTGGACACGTTAGTTTCACCAGCTCACGTAACTATCTCATTGTACATTACAATCGTCATCCTATTCATTCTATTTAAAAATACATCAACCTTTTTCAGGAACTTGAACAGGAAGTGATATGATCTTGCGTTTTACGTCTCATGTGGTACCATGCAATACCATCGCTCCATTGTTCAAAGTCGAGAAATTGATGGAGTCGAATCTTAATTTCCTCGAGGTCCGTTATTCAATTGACACATTAAAAAGCAAAGAGAGGCGGTTGCTGAAAATTATATAAATGAAGCACTGAACATTAGTGATGAGCATGTCATGCTCAATACCGATAGTTCCCGCTACTCACACGATAACAACGAATTTTGTATTAGTTGCCTTATGCCGCGGAGCAGTAGGCCTGGGTGTAACTAGCTCTCTGTTCCGTTATACCCCAGCATCCTATCATTACCTAGATGTAAATTGTCGAAAGCAATAGAGTAAAAACTTGTTTTGAAAACTGACAGTAATTTTCAGGAGCATAAAACAAGTCCTTGTCAAAGGCCTTCTTCATACGTTATGTGGCATAACTTTCCAAGAGTGAGTTTCGGTTTGATGGCACATGACAAGAATTCAACAGGAGTCTCTAGTACAGAAATCCCCCGGGAACACAACGTCTTTTGAACATGAATGCCTTGAGGTTTTGCTTTCGTGATCCTTGGATGTTTTTGTAGCTCAAATTCGTATTACTAAGGAAGTCTCTTGACGCTCAGTGAAAAAGGTTTAGCCGATAGTGTTATCTCTTGTCATCGCATATCAATGAACAAAAACGCTTTCATTGTGCACGTGGTATAGCTGCTATTAAGTTACTATATTCTGGTACTGTCCAGAAGGTGTTAATTGTAGCGAACTTCGTTGTGGATATACAGCAAATGTTGCTAAATCTATTGATTCACAAACATCACTACGAAACAGGCCCCGGAAAAGATAAATGCCGTTAACAATGAATATTGGGTATCCTAAATGTGACAGTTAATATCCCGTATAACCATCAACCCATTGTCCCAGATGGAGACCTGGTCACCATGACTGTCCGCTTTCACACACAGGGCAAGAAGGTCAAGGCCATGGACAATAAAAATATTCAAAAAGCATGATAAAGTTGATAGTGCAACTGTGGTTATTAGCCCCGCATTTTAACTTGGTCCCTAACAGGCATATGTTGACTGGCTGCCATTACAAAGTTAACCAGAGCTCACGGAAACATTTCCAAATGCATCTTCATTTATTGAAATCTCAGTATCAGTATCTAAAAAAGACATCACGTTATTTCAATGAGCGAACAGACAGGATCCAATGTCATTTGAATGTTGAACTAGTTAAGAGATCATGTGAAATGAGAGAGCATATATGCTGAAGCATGTCCTTCGATGTAGGAGCTCGTGTAACTATTGATTACGTGCCAAACAAAGTTACGAGCCAGGGACTCTTATCAATAAAATCTGAATAAAAATGGACGAGTATTGGGGAAAGAGAGGCTTTACTACTCTGGAGAAGCGGGATAGAATACCGCAGTCATTGTTTTGCCGATGTTCACTGTCGTTACGAACGTTGTGGTTAAATAAATCATGCTGGCAGAAAGTTTACGTTCTCTATCACATCTCATTATATTGTCACGTTCACGTGAATTATTAGTGGAGGTTAAATGAAAATGATTGAAATGGCTGCATACACTAAAACTGTTTAGTAGAATAACGGTCTCGAATATTCGAATATGGCCATAATGAATTGTTCTGTGTGTGAGTATGGTGTTGAATAATATTCATATTAACTAAAGTATGTAAGCTGTCGTTCTCCGTAGCTCACCTTTCTTTGTTTAGGCTGATTACGAGAAAGTTTGCTTTAATCATAATCGCCTTACTACACGTTCATAGGCTCATAAGCGCCCGATCGGTGAATACGTGGTTCAATACATTTTCGAGCTTAGCTATAGCTGCAAAACATGCAATATTCTGGCATCACGTCTACACAGCTTCATAAACACTGAGGTGACAGATGAGATGTCCAAAGTAAAAGATTATGAGACTTGTCAGATGTTATTCAAGACCATACCGACACACTGAACGTCATATTTAATTTGATACATAAATAAACGTCTAGTTATGGTCATGTACGAAGGTGATCAACCATCATGGATCCACCTACGCCTAAAGCGTGAAAGGTTATAGCTGTTTTAAGTTCGATTTGATATGGAATTCATGTCTGTGAAATTGGACAGCGAGACATATTCATTAACAATGCAATATAAGGCCTCTGAAACACTATTCAGAGAAACACATTAACATCCGGGCTACAGTTGGTCTTCAGTAACCAATGCTTATTGTAAGAGGCGACTAACGGCACCGGGTGGTCAGGCTCGCTGACTTGGTTGACACATGTAATAGCTATAGTATCCCTTGCGTAGATCCATGCTCGTGCTGCTGATCACTGGCTTGGCTGGTCCAGACTCGATTATTTTCAGACTACCGCCATAGTGCGCCGTTTAACAATAAACGAACAAACGTTTTAGAGACACCATTGGTTAGATCACCAATACAGGAATTCAGCTCAAAGCTCACTTGAACTTTAGTTCACTTGAGCTAAAATATCCTGTTGTAAACCCATTACATTTTATAGTAAACACAATCTGTTACACAGTTACAATCGTAGCACCAAGCAGCCGTAATCTATTCAAAACATGTCGACGTCATAAATCACAACCCCATATTTTTGGACTACAAAAGCAGTCATATGTGGCACCTTGATTCTCTCGTCTTCCTTTACAGCACAACGATACGATCAATAGCTACATGGGTTTTTTCTGGTATTTGGGGGATATCAGTAAAAGTAAACAGATACCATCGGCTAAACGACCACACAGGACTTGTGGTCGAGCGGTTAATGTTCTTGTGCGGCCCTTTAATGGACGCTGTCATTAGCCACTTCTTATTAAAAATTCATCATCAGTTTGTATTCATTGTACAACTTTGAGATTGCTCGCCAGTGTTTCATTGGTTTTGTAAAAAAGTCGACAACACAAGGAACGTTTTAAACGTTGATAGATCATCTTTGCGCCATTTTCGGCAGTGCTTTGAAATGTCTAATTAAAATAAGGAAATTTCTTGTCAAACGCAACGTCAAAGATCCTTGTAGGCGGGTTAAACGAGACGCTGCGAGAAAAAATGAAAACAGCTTTTGTGAGTCGGATGGTTTTTACTGATGCCATTGTTTCCAGCTAGATGATTGTTGTTCCGTGTTATTGGTTGTTTTGACACGAGGAAGCCCTTGCATCTATGTACAAAACCCTTATCAACCAGGCTTCCAGCTCTAACGCACTTGTTATTGGAGATTACATATGCTGTAGTAAGCGTATTATGTAGGTGCTTCCTGCGAAGTAAGTAATTTGTTCCCGTCAGCCAGGGCATATGTTGACATAATGTGCATCATCTCATAAAGCAAAGCTTTCAAAATATTGTCGATAGGATACCTAGTGCAAGAATACAAAGAGTAGGTTCACGTGAGTCGCATTGCCTTGTGTAGCTAAAGGCTTCTGGCTCTTTGCATGCGTGGAAATATTGATCACTCTATCGATCTTTTAGCTCATAAAATTCTTAAAAGATTTCAGGGCTTACAATCTGCAATTCTCCTCAACTGAAGTGAAACAGGACGCATTCCTTTTTAAAATAATGCAAAGTAGAAATTACTGAATGATTCCATTATCAAATGCTCTGTCCGGATAAAAGGGTTTCACAGTACACGGGTAATGAGTAAAGAATTTATATCTGTAAAAGCATAAATCCAGGTGAGCAGATCGATCTCCTGTTGGTGATTTTACCTGATCAAATGGATTGTGCCAATATTGCACTAATGTACTCCCATGAAACAGGAAGCGTGAATTGTATGCTAAACCATCTATTTGCTGTGATGGAATCAATGTTTTGATAAGACAACTATGTCCTTTTGAAATAAACGTGTGCTGATATGCAAACACCAGTCTCTGCCAAGTGCTGCTCTTTGTCAATGTGTATAGATCCAGTCGTCTTTACACGTTCAGCATGGCTGTGAGCTAATATGAGATCCATACAGATCGAACATTAAACAATATACAGGAAATTGTGTCAGTACGGCATGATAGTGTGTTAAGCTACGTTTAGCGACAATTCCAACAATATTCCAGTTGTATTGGAGCGTGTGACGTTAATGTTGGCGGAAAGCCGGTGTCAGACATTGACACAGGAAGAAAACGTGGAAACCTTGAGATATGATCAGGGGAATGTATATATTTAAATATATTCAGATGACACAAAATCTCAGAGTTAAATATGACTTTCAGTGATACTGTCAATATATAAAACTTCAAACTTTTCATTCCCACAACATATTTGCTGCCGTTTCACAACGGTCAGATAATGGGCATTGGCCATTTTAGAATCTACATCAGTTGTGATGATGAACACACACACGCACGCACGCACACGCACACGCACAAGCGCGCGCACACGCACATGCCCCTCCCCTTGAAAATAGTCCGTCAGTGCCTAAGAATTCCGAGTCTTGACAATCCTCAGAAACAAATTCCGTTTGGAGTAAAGGGGAAAATACCTATATATACTCATGCCAATAATGGTTGTCACCCCCTTCAATTTTTTAAATTGGAGAGAGGGTGTGGGGTGGGGGTGAGGTGTGGGGGGGTTGGGGTGGGAGGGGGGTGACAACCATTATTGGCATGAGTTGATTATATGAATGGATCACTGAAGATCAATGATGACACCTGGTGTTCCCCAAAAGAGTAAGTCTGTCCTGCCCTGCCGGTGACACCGCCTTTCAGCGACAGCAGCCAACATTACCACCCCTTCGTGTGTCAAAATCAGCATTAATTTATACAGTTTGCGAAGAACCTGGACGTATTTAAGTGTATCATTTTAGCCTAATGTCAATACAAATCTTGACAATACCAGTGCATGGACGTGTTACGTGCTTCTGCAAACATATTCCCTACCCTCCATGCCAGCATACTGGTTTGGATCAACTTCAGGTCGTTTGTATTGTAGGACGAGGAGACACCGGAATCGATGCCTGATTGCAATCGTAACTGTCGACATATATTTACAGTGTAAACTATCCTGACCAAGTGCTTCATGTGAGTAATCAAACGCTCGCAGTAATACCCTGTGACCTACATTGATACAATATACAGTCTGGCATAAGCTTTGTTTAACCTCGTTAAACCGAACTGTTTACTTTCCATTGCCCTAACGGTATGGGGATTTCTATCATATAATTTCAGTCGATAATTTGTTCCAATGTCATTCAGGGGGGTGAGGGGAATCATGTGCCTACTAGCCGTGCTCAGTCGAGGTTATATACTGAACTATATCCGCATTAAATCAATCCACGTTGTATAGATTATCTCATAAACCCCTCCTGACTTTGAGTACGACCTAGTATTTCGTTGTTTCAGACATTTAACGCATATAGAGAGCATTAAAACATCATTTTCATTCATCACCCCCCACCCCACACCCTCTCTCCAATTTAAAAAATTGAAGGGGGTGACAACCATTATTGGCATGAGTATATATAGGTATTTTCCCCTTTACTCCAAACGGAATTTGTTTCTGAGGATTGTCAAGACTCGGAATTCTTAGGCACTGACGGACTATTTTCAATACGAGTTGACTGACAAGAGGTTAACAAAATAAACTATAAATAGGAAATGGTTGACCTTTAAAGCTTGGCAAATATATAACCATGCTGTCTCTTCCGGTATTCATCGATATATACCCATACGCATAAATTACGCACCACCTGAATCCAAGGAGTTCATTTTAAATTCTGGCCCATACAGGCGATCACATCCTATTTTTTTCTGGAATGTCGATATGAAGCATATGTTTTCTGATACCAAAGACTATTAGACTTAACATACATAACTTTTCGTGATAAGGAAAGGCGCAAACTTTCTGAAAATGCACGATGGCAAGTAATTTGCGTGCATGACACAAGAGATGGCATGTATCAGCAACGGTACTAACTTGAACACTAACTACACAATGATTAGTCGGCTTGTAAGGAAGCCACCAGTAAAGTAAAGAGTCGTCCAATACCTGGAAGAACGAGAACGTCCAGTGACGGTGATGACCAGTCTAAAGTCTTCTGACAAGACACAATGCCATGCCCTATGCCGAACCAAAGAAAAGTGGGAGTCCGACTCCATCAGTATCATCAGAGGAGGCTGCGGGCGGCTGGTCTGAGGGGACATCGTCCGATCCTAACCGACAGGAACGTCTGTCTTGGTGCAGGTTATAATATAACCTCAACTTGAGGACATGGCGTAGGGTTCCCTGGTGCGAAAAAGGCATTCAACACGTTACCGATGGCTGTTGTCGCGAACTGATATGTCGTAACAAGGCACATGAAGAGGAGGAGGAACCATTAAACTGGTGGCTCGCCAGGCTGGTGAGTCAGTGAAGGTTGGGGGTTGCACTTCGTATAACTGCAAGCTGTATCTCATTACAGTACCTGGGGCACTCAATGGACAACGTTATCAACGGAAGTACTGGTTACCGCTGTCGTGCCACATTTTTATAACTATCCCCTTGCCAGGCCTCAGATTTTCAGGGATGACGTCATCGCAAAATTGCAGAACAATGCCATCGAAACATTACCATGACCAACATCTTTGGGACTATCTTGAACTCCAGGTTGAAGCAAGAGATCCTGTTGTTCACAATCGGCAGAAATTGACGCATGCACTCCATGAGGAATGGCAGACGATTCCGATGCTGAATAGTCGATGTTTGATTGCCAGTATGAGGAGACTGGCAGATGTTATCCGTGCGAGGGGTGACTACACCAGGTACTGATGAGGTGATAGTTCACACAATCACAACAATTTGAGAACTGTGTGACATTCAGATTGGTGACGAAGTCATGGTGACCAAACGTTCCGGCTTTCACGTTTTTGTGTATTCCTCACAAACTGCAAATACGTTTTCAGCAATTCAATATCAGAATATTATTGACAACTGAGTTAAAGTCACAATACGCGGAATTTAGTTTTCAAAGCATATACAACAACATGTGTTTTCAAATAAAACGTAGGTGTTGCTTGATTAAAGTTCATGTACATATGTAACTTCGACCGTGATTGGATATGAATTTGATAACACTAATTGCAGCAATACCAAAGGTTAAAACTTGGATAACAACATGTTTTTTGCATATAGCGATGTTTGAGTGTAGATTCTTACACCGCCATGAAACTAAAATCACGTTTAAAGAAGGTGTCATACATAAAGCCGTAACCTTTGTAATTGACTCACCAACTTCTAGAAAGCCTATCGAACATTCTTCTACACTACGATGGATGATTCAAGTCTCTGTACGACGACGACAGTTAGTGTAATGACGTCATGGCGTTTCTATGTAACACATCCAATATAGTTATAAAATATTTTATTAATTCAAGTAAAACACGTATGCATAGAATTGATTTGGCAGAATAGTATCTGAGTATTAGCCCGGCCTGTTACCTCGACGTGAAAGGAAAAGATAAATGCTCCCACTATGGACCATAGCATGATGGAGTTGAAAACACCTGCAATCTGGGATTCGAACCAGAGAGAATACTTTTCAGCCCTGCCTAAGGGAAGTAACTCTATACAGTGAACTGAGCGCCTCCAGCTACTGGGTCGACCGTGCCTTCAGAATAATAATCACAACAGTTAAAATACAACGTTGTTTCAATTTCATTTCCCAGCCTGTCGTTTAAATCAAATCAAAATGAACGAAATATGCTTTCAATAGAACCAACTAATATGATCCAGTCAAATTCTCCTTCCAAAAAATTCGAGTAAAACGGTATTTGGTTTCAACAATAATATTCGCATAAAACAAACATCTTTTAAAGATATATCAGTTGTTAGCAACTTGTCAGTGTTTACTTCAAGAGATCGGATGTAATTCCCAAGAAAGTAGATCTGGAAATAAATACATTTTAATCAAGACATGGCTAAAGTTGCGAGAGTCATTAGATACATTATAAAACATAAACCAATAAAAAACGAAGACTGTGAAAAAAAACTTCAAACGTGTGTCGACTTAATGTCTTTCTGCAACAGTGTTTTGCCCCGCATTGCGTACGGAAAACATTGATGATCAGGCCGAATCCCTCTGAAGAGAGGATAACCATCACAATCGAGTTCCTAAACCTTGTCCTGGCGGCCCGGTTCCATTAGATAATTAAACTTTTTTCGTACAAGGATTCCGCCACTACCCTACGATTGAATTCTAGATGCGACTTAGTTTTGATGCGTCCTACATTGCAAGCAGTGCGAGTTTGTCGTAAATATAATCTTTAGCAAATGGAATTGTCGATACTGACTATGTGAAATAATCAGGACTTACTGCCCATCAAAGCTGAAGCAGGTCCTGTGGTACAACTTGGCGGGCTACCCTTACGTGAAGATGTGATTACTTTTACCTTTCGATCCTATTCTGGACCAACTACATGTATGTTGCCAGGCAAGTCTTAATCAAAATGACGCATCAGTACATGTAGACATATTTCCTTCAAAATTGTGTTTACTTTTCGTCAGAAAATAGAAATAATTTTTAACTGCTTGTAAGCTTTGTTTCAGGAATATAAGGTAAATCCCAACGTCCAATAGCGTTTGTTACTACCTTGAGTGGGTGAGTGAGTTTGGGTTTAGGCCGCTTTTAGCAATATTCCAGCAATATCACGGCGGGGGACACCAGAAAAGGGCGTCACACATTGTACCCATGTGGGGAATGGAACCCGGTTCTTCAGCGTGACGAGCGGACGCTTTAACCATTAGGCTACCCCACCGCCCCGTTACTACCTTGAAACAAGTAATACATAGAAAGTCAGGTGTATACGTACCTTAAATGAATTCAGTGTTCCGAAGTAGATCGGCACAAATGCCAACCATATAATACACGTTGTGTACATGGAAAATCCAATGAATTTAGATTCGTTGAAGTTCTCTGGAATCTTCCTCGTTTTCACGGCATATACCGTACATATTATAATAAGAAGCATATTATACACTAAGGAAACTAAAAATGAGATGTCATCACTTTTACACTTAAGAATAATCTGTGCTTTCTTCTCATCTGGGTAGAATAGCTTGGTCCCTGGGGGCTCTAGTAGAAGCCATACTGAGGTAAAAAGTACTTGTATTGAAATAAGGATCCCCGCTATCACAATCTGTGATTTCGGACTTATGAAAGGAGGTCTTTTGGCAGACTTCCTTGCACTTTCAAATATCCTTGAAATTCTATTTGTTTTAGTCAAAAGTGCTGAATATACAATTGAAAATCCAAACCCAACACCAAATCTTTGGAAGGCGCAAACAGCTGATGAGGGCATTGCAAGCAGTACAAATGTCATCAGATAGCAGAAGAGGCACCCGCAAAGCAACATGTAACTCAGCTCTCGTCCAGAAGCCATAACAACGGGAGTGTCGTTGAACATGACGAATAGTGAGATAGTGAAGGAAGTTGCGAGAATTCCCACACCTGCCAAACAGATGGGAATAATGGCAAATAACGTATTCCAGGTCATGTGTTCGATCTCGAGAGGGAAACAACCAGTCTTGTTGTCGTAGGGCCATTTCCCGTCCGCACATGGGTCGCACGTCTTCTCATCCTTCACGTACTCCCAAGGGAGACACTTGGTGCAAATCCAGCAGCACTGGTCTCCAGAGCGCATGTTCTTGATGTGACCCTCTTTGCAGGGCTCGCTACATCTGGAGGTGGGGACGTCGTATGTTCCACCTGCCCAGATGATCTTCTCCATGTCAAGTTCCAGGGTGCTGGCCCAACGTCCTATCTCTCTGTACTCGTACTGGCGAGTGGTTCTGTTTCTCTGGAAGTTCATGATGGTATAGCGTCCAGGGGCGTTGCCAGACTTATCGAAGCTTATTTTGGCACCGTATCCATCTGAAAAGATTATAAAGAACAAATTGTAATAAATATTGTTGAAACCAATTAGACATCAAACTCTCAAAATCATACACTAATCTAACAGTGACTAACGGATACAATGACAAAGTGTAAAAGGTGATTTGTGCGTATATGGGCTTATTATGTTCGAATAGCAAGGACTGGTAATACATGTATAAACTCTTCTGTCTCCAGAGAACGCAAAATACAAGCCTAACATCTGAAGTGTTGTAAATATTCTTACAACAAATATCTGCGTCCATCGATTCTGTAGCCATTGATGTTTCAACTAACACTAAGGGAACTTCATTTTTGATTTATGATTGAAAACAATTGTGAAATATATCTGCGTCAATCAATGTTGATATGATAATAATGAATGTTTTGAGAGTGCATCACCACTTGCACTTCCTTATGACCATAGTTGTTTGTACAGTAATCGCTCTTGAAAGATGACTGGTGTATGACGTGAAATTCGTATGTGTACAATTTTCATTTTCAAACAAAAACAACGGCTAGAAACAAACACGAACAACTTTGTGATGCAAGATGATTGTCAGAATTAATGGTCTACAGTGATTTATCGACCTTCTTGAAAACCGTTAAAATGAAGAATGACACCCAATGCACACCCACTGCGTTGTGCACGTGCATCCCCTGCGTTGTGTTTAGGGGTGGTGATAAAGAGAAATGGTGATGCATTCATAAGATGTCTGTCTTTGAAAAGTTTGTTAACGCTTATACTTCCCATCCAAATTGAACGTTCAGGTTCTCCTACGTTTTTAAGAGGATACTGTACTACTCACACTTTGCTAAGGATAAAAAGAATTCACAACTTAGCTTAAACGTAGATTCATAATTTGAAATTGTATCCATTTAAAACTGTATAAATAATAATATGGTAACCCTTCTTCAGGTGAACAATCACATTAATCTAACCTTATGCACTTGAATACATGAGTAACCATAAAAATGGTTTTCATGGCACCAATCAACAATTTTGCAAATCATGGAAGGAGTCATTGACAAGTACACAACACCTGTCAGTAGCAGGTATGGGATCCACAAGATGCAGTGACATACTGACACCTAGGATCAATGCTTACAATAAGCTTAAATATTTAAACCAAATTTGAATCCATGATTTTATCCCTAGCAAATTGTGAACAGTATACATATGAGAAGTGACCCGGTGCCCATACTATAGCACTGACGGTTGTTATTTCACAGCTTCGTCAGTAAGAACCCTCCTGTTTCTTCCAGTTTTCACAGTTGTCCTAACTCCACATGCCTACTGTTACCCTTCCTAACAAAACGTTTCCACACATTCAACTTGGGTAATTAATGTCTATCAGTTGTTTTCAATTTGTTCGGCAAGATAAAGCTGCATAGGGAAGACATCATCAACATCACAGTGCAGAAAGCGCAAACATTCTTCGCTAAAACTCTTCTTCGTAGTGTGATGCAATAGAGTTGCTGTCATCATTGTACCATCGGTAAAGAAACCAAATATGGCGTCATTAAACTGTCTGCTCTTTGAAGAAAGTTCGTGTCGCATTTAATCATGTTCTATAGAATGGGTGTTCTGTCCAAACGAATCAAGAATGAAAGTTGGTTTCTAATGGCAATATTAAATGACACAAAAAGCCACCATTTCCTGAGAAAACTATGATAAAAATGTTTTTTCAACGTATTGCCGTTTCTGTATCCATTATAATGAACGCATCATACACAGATATTGACATCGCCGTTCTTGTGGGATTTATGGTGTTTATATATGTGGAGTTGAACTGTCTGATGGCAGAATAAGAACTTAATTGTGCAGTCACAACAATTATTACAAACATTCTAGGGATATAACATCATGTCATTTTCAAAAAGAAAATTAAGATTGAGCGTAAATGACTTAAAGTGACAAAACCATTTCCGTTATCGTAATCTATAATTCCGATTGGATCATGAGCATGTATTTCTAATTCACAAGCAATGTGACAAAAGGTAGAGCGTTACTCCAGCATCTATATGCATGTTCATCGTCTCTACAACGCCTTTACAACCAACTAATCCATATAAAGTTTACCGCAACTCCAGAATGTTCATACACAGCGGTCCTATAAGGCCCTTACCATGCCTAAATAATGTCATCATCTCCTGTACAACGCCAAGGTTATGTTTCAGGACCATGCTCCTTGGTTTCACCAAGATTGTAAACATTTACATTTACACTTACATTTACATACTAACATTTGTATAGCGCCGATATCCAGCTCAGCTGCTCAAAGGCGCTTTGTTTTTCCCCTCGATCACTGGATGTCAATCTCAACGGCAAGTCGTATTATCAATCTCAACTCCCTGGGGAGCTAACAACTGTTGCAGCCACTAGGCGCACCGAGTTAGTGTGGCTTTCCCATTCTTACGAGGTACCTGTTCACAGCTGGGTGGACTGGGACACGTAGTCACAGTACTTTGTCCAAGTTTACTGCACGTTGCTGAACCCGCAACTAGGTGTATGCACGTATTCATGTGGCCACCATCTGGTCTTATACCAACGGATTCGTGGGTTCTCTTAAGTACACAGGGTTGTGTACTGTACACTAGGGGATGTGAGAACACTGAAAGAGTCTGCACACAAAGTTGACTCCAAGATTTTTACACCCGGTCACGGCTGGGCTCGATCCCGCCACCTCAAGCTCGCTGGATCACTAGCCTGGCGCTTTAGCCATTTCGCCCACCACGCCCCCAAACATCTAAGACCTGCCCCCTTAGTGGGGATTCAACCACCACATGTACTGTACAATGCATCGACAATATCACTTCAATGCCTTCACATGTTACGTCTGAATCAAATGCACCGAACACCTCACGCAAATAACAAGTCGACGAGTGTCAATTGTCTTAATGCAAATAGTAATCTCAATAATAGACAATTACTTGTGTTCTACATGTGACATTTCACTTGGTTTATCGTCCATGAATGTGGGATTCCGTAATCACACCACTGCTGAAAAAGGGATTATTCAATCCGTTGCCGAATGTAACGTATATGCCTTGTCTTAAAGTTGTAGTTGGTTTTCTGTGTGTTTGTTCTGTTCGACTGATTGTGTTAGGGTCTCCGAAGCTCAGGCATCAAAGGATGTTGGAGTAGAATCACTTGAGAGGTTGGACAGCTCCTTTGGTTGTGTTTACCGCTATCTCTTTAATAATTCTATAGCAAATGAGGATTTAAAAAAAAACAGAAATTAGGATTCTCACTGATTTTCCTTGATGTTGAATCATTCAAAATAATTAGGTTTTGAGGGAGGTGAGTTGAAGAGCATATCAAGTGTCTCCACACGATCTCTTTCTGGATTTGAGGAACTGCAATAATGTTTTTGAACTCGGTATCTGAACAGAAGCCGTGCCATTTACGAGGATTTATATGCAGACCCAGTACATATCAATTTAATAATAGCTTCTCACAAAACAAGAAGTGGAAGAAGTTTCTATTATTATGGGACGACATAATGGATGTTGCACCATTTGTTAGTTTCATGTTTCTAATCGCCACAACGACCGCAGTTTGAAGCGTGCCTAAACTTTTAAAAAGTTCTTTTCTCATCGACAATAACTCAAGCAGACCGATCTGAGAAATTCCAATATCTTGCAATGAAATTCAGTAGTACAATCTGACCATGAAACGTGAATAGAATTTCCAATGGTTCAGTAAAGTATTTTTTCACATTAGACAGAATATCTTGGGGTTTAAACAAAGGTTGCTTACAGCTATCCCATTTACACTGTGAAAGGTCCACCAACGTTCACATTGTTCATGAAGACATTGATTTCCATTACATTTCTGTAATAGCTACAGCTATGGTTCCAAGCTAATTGTCGGCATCAATTTGTTTCTATTGATCTTTGGCATTAATGAAACTATGTTTGCTTTTGTCCATTACAATTAACCCAGTAAAGTACTGCGTCATGGTGTTGAGTAATTATGAGTAATTATGAGTAATTACATCACAATCTAATGACATTTCATAAATGAATAGTTTGAGGTGAATACTTTTATCCATTGTACCGTCTTTCCAACTTGGAACTGCTTAGCGGCAGGATTTTGACAGAACTGATGTTATCATCTCTTGCAGTGTCAGCTTAATATCCGACAACGATCAATTGTCTTGTCTTGGTTCACCGTGTGTTTCTCCTTCAGTTGTCCTAGGAATGATTAGGACATACTTGGAAACACATCCAGCCACAGATACTCCTCAACGCTCACCTAAAGAGCACATTCAACCAGACAAAACTGATATCCAATAACCTTCATTACAAAAGAAACACTGATATTCCCCTACCAAAAGCAGAAATACCTCTTCTCCGCAGTGATATCCTTTAAATGAATCTCCCGGCATTGAGTCCAGTTTCGGAAAATAAAAATGTTCTCAGAACAATGTTACGTTAAAGAAGGCCTGTGGAAAAGCTTCGGTCAGAATGATCCCTGACATTATTTTTGAATGTTTGTCAGCTGGAACTCAGAACATGACAAACATGGCTGGTTTGTGACTGCCGGAGATTGAGGGGAGATTCATGGCGACTCGGATATGAAAACATCCTTTCATAGAAAAAACGGAATAGCACAGGGGTCGTCACGGAGTGACACGTCCATACAGAATTGAAAACTTGGTGCCACTGAGACGGATGGCAGAGGCGAGAAGCGTTCATCCTGTCTCACTCACATATTTGAACTAAATTCCAAATCCTTAGAGAATCTAGAGATCGGTTATTAGCTGATCCTTCTGGAAGGCGTTTCATAGCCTCAGAAAACAGTGACATTTGGAGAAATAAAAATGTCACTTCGCAAATCAATACTTGAGATGGGCCACCTTTGACCCGAGATACCACTTGCTTGAATTAAGGCCTTTTTGTAATTATCAGACTTTTAGGATGTAGTTGGTTTGTTTGAAAACGGTCATATTAATATGTAAATGAGGGTAAAACCAAGAATAGCTATGTCATTTCCTAGAAGCTCACCAATGGCTCACAATAACAGTCGGGACGATATTGTTCCAAAGGAAATCATCATTGATCATTCAAACCAACACAACAATCCATCACTTTTAAATCGATTTAGGAGACACGGGTTTCAGAATCTATACTAGAATAACGATGAAACTGCGGGACTTGCAACAAATAATGAATGATCGTTTTTCGTTAAACCTTTGATCTTTACAAGTTATACATTAATTGCCCCTATGCATGCTGTTAACGTAATACTTTATGATGGCCCTTCAAGGAAGGTTAATAGAAGATATAATTCAAAAACAAGTCATTTAACATAGAACATGAAATGCCGTCACATCGTATTATGTTTTCTGACGATAGTTGGGTGAACTCAAGAGTAAAACGTGACCTCCATGTTTCAGTTGAACGGTG